GGGCACACGGTGCTGTTTTATTGCCCGAGGGATGCGGCTGTCCCCCGGGATGGGGAGGGGGGCACAGCACCAGTGTCACCCCTTTCCCCTGTGTCCCCCCCCCCTCCAGCTGGGGACACAGCCAGGACATTTTGGGGACACTGTCCCTAGACGGAGATGGAGCCATCGCGGAAGTCGGTCTTGCCGATGAGGGCGTTGATGAGGACGGGGCGGCCTTGGCGGCACGCATCCTGTGCGGCGCGGAGGACGGCGTCCAGCCGCTCGTGGTCCGGGCGACCCACCACGAAGCCTTTGCCACCCAGAGCTTCGGCCACCGCGTGGTAGTCTGTAGGGAGGGGACAGTGATGGTGGCTCTGTCACCTCCATGGGAATGACTTGATATTGGGGCGATACAGGGCCACCGGGCATGGGTCAATACGGGGTGACGCTGGGCTACCGCGCTCCGTTCTCCCCAGGGTGGCACGGTGCCACCAGACATGGCCTGACCCAGGGTCACACGGTGCCACCAGACATGGCCTGACCCATGGTCACACGGTGCCACCAGGCATGGCCTGATCCTCCCAAGGGTGACATGGTGCCACAAGGCATGGCCTGATCCAGGGTGACATGGTGCCACCAGGCATGACTTGATCCTCCCAAGGGTGACATGGTACCACCAGACATGGCCTGACCCAGGGTCACACGGTGCCACCAGGCATGGCCTGATCCTCCCAAGAGTGACATGGTGCCACTAGACATGGCCTGACCCAGGGTCACACGGTGCCACCAGGCATGACTTGATCCTCCCAAGGGTGACACGGGACCACCAGGCACAGTCCAATCCAATCCTTCCTGGAGATGACGTGACCATTGACTGTGGCTTGATGGTCCCCAAAGTGACGTGATGCCACCAGGCATGGCCTGATCCTCCCTAGAGTGATGTGGTGACACCTGGGACAGCTCAATCTACCCCAGGGTGACACAGTGCCACCGGGCATGGCTCGATCCAGGGTGACATGATGCCACCAGACATGGCTTGATCCTCCCCAGAGTGATGTGGTGACACCCAACACAGTTTGATCTACCTCAGGGTGACACAGTGGCACCAGGCATGGCTCGATCCAGGGTGACATGATGCCACCAGGCATGGCCTGATCCTCTCTAGAGTGACGTGGTGACACCTGGGACAGCTCAATCTACCCCAGAGTGACACAGTGCCACCGGGCATGGCACGATCTAGGGTGACATGATGCCACCAGGCACAGCTTGATCCACCCCAAGGTGTCATGATGCCACCAGGCATGGCTCAATCCACCCTAGGGGTCACCTGGGTGTCCCCAAATCTGGGGACAAAGAAGGGGACACGGTGCTCACCCAGGTACTCGAGGCCACACGCCACGTTGCTGCCCAGCAAAGCCACTTGCTCCCGGGCAATCTGGCTCCAGCACGCGTCGTTGCCCACCAGCGCGATGACCGGCGTCTGTAGGGGACAAAGCACGGGGCCACCGCGCCCCGGTGACACCCTGGGACGGGGACAAGACTCCATTTCCCCCCTTCCACACCCCATTTTTGGCGTCATCTGACCTTGTGCCGCACGAAGGTATCGAACTCCATCAAGCTGTAGCCCAGCGAGCCGTCACCGTAGAGGACCCAAACCTGGCACCGGGGAGGGGACAAACACCGTGAAGCCACGCGGGTGGCACGGTGGCCACCGTCCCCACAGGCCACCGCATCCCCGTTACCTCCGCGTCGGGATGGCAGAGCTTGGCGCCGAGCGCGAACCCT